ATATAATATAAGATGACAACAAAAAAAAACTTTATACAAGGTCATCTGTATTCTCAAGTAGAAAGTTTATATAAATAGTTTATGCCATAGCCACAGCCGGATTTGTATCCCTTGTATCGGATTCTTCTTTCATTCTTTCCAAAAATGATTAATCTACGGTTAATATTTTTTTTAAATTTAAACAGTGTTAGCCACCGAGCTTGTTCGTTTCTTTCTATATAGAGATGAAGTTTTTTTTTAGAAAATCAATGTTCTTTATTCTAATATATTGGCTGTATCTGCCTTTTACAAATAAGACAATAACATTAATTGAAAAAGGAGACGTGGAATGGTTTTCACTGAGAGGACTTTCAAACAAAGTCCAAATGAAATAGATTTGACCAACTATTGGTTACTATACACTTCACAATGAACAAAACCCATACCGTATCAAAATTGCCTGATTTATGACAAAATCATAAACAAAAATGTCAGGCAGCAGCTTACGACAGCCGCTATATTACATGTTCCTGACCAGGGACAGACACATATATATTGAGGCGGGCTTAAACATGTTTGTGAGCACTCAAACCTCCCTTAACATGGTGCCGTGGTGTAGCAATTCAACATTTTTTTTGCAGAGAATGATTATTCATTTATATTTCATTTTATCTGAAAGTTGAAAGAGAATTCATTCACTTAATGGTTCTAAATATTCAATGCGGAAAAATTCTCCTTCCATTACCTCCTTCCTTCCCTCCACCCACAACCCATCCCCGAAATGTTCATCACTTATATGAAAAGCTGACTAATGTTGTATGGTTTAAACATTTGGTTGAGGCAATCTAAAGTTTGAGGACAGAAACGACAGCTTTAGATTTTTTCATTTATAAAAGGGCATAACTCAAGAACGGTAACAGTGACGCTACCCAATTTATAACTTGATCTGTGTTTTGTGGTGATAAGCATTTCATGTAAGTTTTAAAACATTTGGTTAAGGCATACTAAAGTTAGAGAACGGAAACCAATTATTGGGACTTTCTGGACGGACAGGAGAGACGGGACGGACGGACATGGGTAACATTTAACGCTACGTCAGGGCTGAACAACAGGTCAGTAAAACAGTGACATGCCTTTCCGAAAGTTACAACATTTGCCAGCTTTTGTATATGCCGTTTTCATATTGTATACATCCGGTATGTAAAAGATTTAATAGGACTGTGTTCAAGCCTTATATTGTGTATACATCTTAAATGGTGTCAAGCGAATTGTATTTTTATCAAATGCATAATTAATATTTTAACCTAATACTTTATTTTCTTCAAAAAGAGGGCAAATAAATATTTTGAAATTAGCAAGTTGCCATACAGTTGAAAACAAGTTGCCATACAGTAAATTTGTCAACATGAGCAAGTTGCCGTACCCTAGACTTTATTTTTTATGGTCTATTTTCTTTAAAAACGTTCATTTTGACAACAAATTTCAGTAAATATGATGCCACACTATAATAATCTAAAAAAGTGTCTGGAAACATAATGAAAAACAGTTGAATATCTTGCCAATGGGGCGACAGAGGACGATCGACCTCGAAATTTTCAGGTACTAAGTGGCAAGTTCTTGAGTATAACACAAAATATTGTCTTAATTTTGTACTTATCGGCCTAATAATTTAAAGAATTATATATCAGAAAATCATTTCTTAAGCGGTACCCTCGTCAAATCAGTAGAAATGCTTTAAATTGAATGAATTCTTACCTTGTTTACTTTTTTTTCCCATTTCTCTCCGCTTCGTTAGTACCCAATTTCCGGTGGCGATGATACACAGTGATGATTAGAAAACGTCTTTCCCTTAACAGTATATCATCAAAGGAAGCTGAATTTGTGTATAGGATTATAGAGTATGGTAGCTAGTGGATTAATGTTATTCCACCCTCAGGGGGAAATCAGAAAAAGTAAGGAGCTCTTGACAGTCTTTGCAAGAAATGCTATATGTTTTGAAATTACATTGTCTTTTTTCAGACTTTGGACAATTTACAGCTTGGCACATTGTGTCGAGACCTGTCTATTGTTGAAGACTGTATGTTGACCTCTAGCTGATGTCTTGATTGTTTGTGTAGTTGGGTTGCTGTTTTTTATGTTCATGTATACTGTGGATTCATTGTTATTCTTGGGATACCAGTTTTTTTGTTGGATTTCATGGGTTACGGTGAACAATGAATTTAAATGTTTTAAAGAAGTACAAATTTTCCTTAAAGGCTTGTATGCAGACATTGGCAAAACCATGAAATGAATATCCACAATAACACAATTTTCATAGATCCACAAAAATTGTACCCACAAATATAAATGAGTCCACAGTATCCCAAATCTCCTTTTATTCATATTTATAAACCTTCTGTTTCTTAAGACTAACACAGTTTGATGAGCACTTATACATAAATAGACAAATGTCCGAGCAACATTAGTATACATATAAATAAGCATTAGAAGCACCAGTGTGGTTATTATCTTGTCAATCTTTATTTTACCAAATGGTAATCTTGATTTATAAAATCACTTTTCTGACTATTGGTCAGTAATGAGGTCTTCTGGGTAATAAATGGGAAATAAAAGAACGAATAGCCATAGTAACGGTAACCTGTGAGCATACTCTAGACTTCATACAATGATGCATGTGAATTGATCAAAATAGCATTAACCTACATGTATAGTGGATGGGATAGACATTGAAATGGTTGTCTTGACTTAAAGACAAACCTTCCATGGTCTCTCTTAAATATATTCACAGCTTTTTTAGACTTGGGGCATTTAGTATAAGATATTTGCATATTCTATAGACACCTGTCTATTATTGAATACTGTATGTTAACATCTCGATAATTTTGTTGGTTTTTTGTTTCACGTGGCAGTATTTGTAAGTTAATGAAAATTATAATCTGATACTTTGTGTATCAACACAGGTTTTTGGACTGAATCTTTGAATTCAGTACATGTATATAATGAAAGTAATAAGTATGTGACCTACCCTATAATAGTATGTGTATAATGTGAATGTTTGCAGTATATTTTTGAATTTTTTCTGCCGTACTAGTTGAGTCATGCTGTAAGCTGGGGTTTTAAAGTTATTTGTCAAGTGTAATATACATTTTTGTTTATTTTAATTGAAAAACAAAGGATGTGGGGAATCCATCCATGACACAAAATCAGTATATGCACAGCAAAAAAATACACAAAAAGCAAAGGAACAGCGCTTTTATTGCTGTTCTTCATCTCAAAGTCACAGTGAGGCCTTCAACACGGAGCAAAAAAAAAAATGCATGACACATAAGGGGAAATAACTCTTATATACTCACAAAACCAAGGATTTATAACAACATTGCAAACTATTTTAACAGAAAATAAATCTCTTTAGGCCAACATAAAAAGTATTCATGTCTGACACTTGATCTTTCATATTTTTAACCCCATACCCTAATTTTTTTCCCTTTATTTTATGTTAAATCAATTTTATCGATTTTAACAAATATTCCAGTGAAAACATGATTACATCTGATGATTGGCATTAACAGTTTCTCATCTTTCTCTGTAGAAGTTGTGATTTTCAAACATGTCTGTAGGATGTAGTTATATTCAGATGTAATTAATGTATTTGATGTTAATTATCGTTTATTGATCATGTTTTGGCTAAATACCACATTAAAAGTAACATCACTGATCATATATAATGATAAACTCTGCCAGTTGTAGTTATTAACTTTCTCATCCTTATCATGTATACCTCAACGGAAATTCATTTATGATGAAAGAGTTTATATTGAAATCGGTATTTTTAGTGCATCAGGTCAAATCACCTGAAACTTTGATGGAGAAGAAAATTATCTTCAGTTGTAGATCTACATGCAGAGAGAAAATGCACTGGAATAAAACTTAAAATTTATAATTATCAAAAATGCGCTTTTTGTGTGCAATAAAATGATTGTTTTCTATTTAAGTTTGTACAATCATAATATGATATTTCTTACAGTTACGTAATACAACAGATTTGAATCCTGTTTTATTAATATTTTAAGAGAAGAATGTGGGATAAAAAAAAACAAAACAAGCAGGTGCATGCTTACTGCATGGTTTGGCTCATGATTTTATGATTATATTGATCTATACAGGTGTCAACAGAAAGAAAAACAATTATAGAAAAATTAGACACTTGATAGAAAATGATTTGGCACATCTTCTTACAAATATTTTTGAAAGTTTGTGGGAGGATTTTTTATATTTAGATTATCTGGCCTATACAGCTCAGAATTGTCAATTACTATCATGTCATATTCCTACTCTGTTTACGGTCTACCCATCATCCATCTGAAAGTTTTCAGAAATCTTCCACAAACAAGTTGGTGTTTTAGGACCATCCGTTGCTTTTCTTAGGGGTCTGCCTTAATAATTAGAACTTATATGGCCCTGTAATGAAAGTAAAATGGCCACTATTGTTAAAAATAGAAAATAGGGAAAATGTAATCCTGTTCAATAAAAAAACTAAAAAAACTATAGGGACCAATTGCTTTCAAACTTTGAAGAAACCATACATTTATCATCTTCTTTATGAAGTATGGTTGACGACTCTATCAGTTTTAAACTATAATGCTTCTAAAAATAGAAAATCTTGAATTTTCATATTAGACACTAATGCAAGGAGTCTGAAATAAATATGAATTCTGATTGATTTTCAAATGCAACTACAAATTATGATAATTCATGTATATACATACATATATATATTTATCTGACTAATTCTTTTGACGTCCAAAAGATCGACCAGGTTTAATTAGTTTGGAGGGTGGCCCTTGTTGACATTGACTGACCCTCTCTCTCCCCTTCCCAAATCAGTAGCAAACATTTGACATAAGTTTGTATGAGTGATACATGTTTCGTGCAGCCTCTAGTTATAGTTGTTAATAACTAATCTCTCTTTTATAAAAAAGAAAACTGTATAAGTAGTAATTTTGTTAATTAAGCTGCAGAGAATAAAATTTCATTGAAGTTACATAATCGTAGTGAACCATGACGGCCATCACTCACATAATAAATTTCCTTGGCCTTGAAGTACATACCATATTACTCTGAGGAAATTGACAATTCAAAGTGAATGCAAAGTAGTCGGTTTACAGTATGATGGAGAAATTATTTACATTTTTGTTGATTAATTCATAACGATATTGACCTAGATTTAGTATCTGCTTGTCAATGTGATATAGAAAAGTTTGTCATAAACATGGATTAAGTACAATAATATCAAGGATGATTTATGGCCATCAATAATTTGTTCTTTCAAGGTAAGTATAATAATACTCAATGTTTGGTTGGATTAAATAATAATGTATTGGAAATTAATGGACTATAAATGAACTTACTTTCTACTATTGAGGTTTGAACCTGTTTTGATGGATAGATATGAATTGGGAATAGTTGAATGTTTGACAGTTAAACAACAATTGCTCTGTTATGTGAGAGAGAAAAATAGAGCTGTTTTAGTAAATGAAAGTGTAATTTCACCACAAATCAAAATTTAAAATTTAAAATGAATGATTCACATGCATTATGTAATATAAAAATAAGAAGATGTGGTATGATTGCCGATGAGACAACTCTCCACCAGAAACCAAATAATATTGAAGTTAACATTTGCATTAAACTAGACAAATTCCAACAAATTACCCTCAACCACTCTTATTTAGTTGGATGTACAAGTAGCTTAGGTTTTTAAGGGTTAAATATCTTTGACATCATAAGATTTGATTCAGTTGCTATATCATTGCATGAGTTTTCGTCAACAATATAATAGATAAATATTAAAAACATAAAAAAATTTGTTAGAGCCTGAGGAAAAAGTTCAGAAATTCAAGAGAGAGAACACTAAGGTTTAGAGGAGAGAAAATTACAGGAGATGAGAACTATAAAATGATGAGGGAGAACACCTAAAATAGAAAACGGTTAAACAATAAAAGAACAGAAAAGAAGATAAGAGATTTCTTTTGCCTCACCATAGATTTCTCTCCCCTCTCTTCCATAGTCCCCCCTAGAGTTTTGTTTTGCCTATCTGTTTTGGTGTTTATAAAATATTATCAATACATATACATGTACATGTAACAAATACACCTGTTGTTAGCTATCTGCTTTAATGACAAGTCATCTCAAAACATTTCAGTATGACTAACAACAAAGCATCAATATTTCTAATGATTACAACATGATGTAGGGAATCAGATTGATGTATGACACTTTAGAATAGAGATTTAGCTAGCTATAAAACCAGGTTTAATCCACCATTTTCTACATAAGGAAATGCTTGTACCACCATTCAATTGGTGTGTTTGAGCTTTTAATTTTGCCATTTGATAAAGGATTTTCTGTTTTGAATTTTTCTTGGAGCAGTATTTTTGTTATTTTACTTTTTTGTTTATTGTTGAAGATTGTATACTGTCCCCTAGTTGTCTTTTGTTTACTTTTGTTATTGGGTTGCTGTATCATTTATGTATACCCCACATCTACTCTTACACATATTTTTGCAGTCATATTTCATGAATACATGAGCAGATCCATACAAAAAAACATTATTGTAGAACTTCAATTTCTAACCTTGGTTTTAAATCAAGGTCATGAGACATCTATTAGGTAACAATTGCTACATGAGAACTACATCCAGTTTGTATAAACCCTTGATGTTGATGGTGGTTGATGTTTGTATTTACCCAATGTGTTTACCTTCCATCACCTGTTGTAACGGGAGAAAAGATAGTCAAAGCCAATAATACATTGCTAAATATGTGTTGTAAAGGCTTCACTGTGACTTTGAGATGAAGAACAGCTAAATATATATTATTGAAGGCTGTTCCTTTGCTTTTTGTGTGTTTTTTGCTGTGCATGTACTGATTTTGTGTCTTGGATGGATACCCATGTCCTTTGTTTCTCTATTATATGCAACATTAAATATCTGTTTACCTACTCCAATAAGAAAGTCAGTTTTCCCACAATGTTAAAGGAAGTGTGATGAATGAACACAAAGCAAATTATAGGTAATTATAGTATAAGAAAACAGACCTTTTTTTACCTGTAATTTTTTACCTGTATTTTTTTTTGTAAATTTGACTGAAATATTTAGGTTTATATAGCTGAACTTGATGGTTATTGATTACAATAGCTGATTCCTGTTGCTAAGACATTGAATCATATAACCAATAGGTACTGTCAATTTTTTGTGATTATTCAATCGGAGTAAGAATTCAGTTTGCTATACTTTGTACATACCATATCAATAGAAAATTTGCCTTCATTCAGTATAAAGTTTGTGTTTTGACTTGCCATAGGAAATCAAATTAAAATAGTTATATTATGAAACATATAACTTTCACAGCACTTGTAAATCTGAATTATCAAAAGTTAATTTTGCTGATTGTATTGAACCATAAGATATACATTATTGTATGATTGGATATATTAGGGAACGTTTTCTGGTGGATATCACATTAGTATCAAGTCAGATATTCTAATGAACATCATGTTCTACTTGTGAGGAAATCTGAAATTTACCTAAACTATGTTAGTACATTGATATCTTTGACGTTGGGTAGCTGTCTGATTTAAGTTCATATCTCTTTTTATTCATATAAATCCTGTTCATTTTAGCGATTACATGTTCAAATATGGGGCCAAGTACTAAATGTGTCACTGATAAGAATCCAGACCATCAACTTTCACACAGGAAGGACTGAGGATTGCAAATTCTTTTAACAGGAAAATATGTCATCTCAGGCCAATATAAAAAAGTATGCATGTTCACTGTCACATGAGGTTCCCTGTGTTTTAACCTCCTACCCTAATTTTATTTTACCCGTGTCCCATTAAAGTAACAATGTCTCCTCAGTAGAGTCAGGGTAAACATATTTTGATTAAAAAAAATCCCTGCCTACAGACCTTAATTATTTTTCATGTGACAGTTAACATACTCGTATGTATGTTTTTGTTTATTTGTTGGTTTTTGATGCAATAAGTTATCTGTGAGAGTCAGTGTAGCAAGTTATCTGTGAGAGTCAGTGTAGCAAGTTATCTGTGAGAGTCAGTGTAGCAAGATTTATCTATGAGAGTCAGTGTAGCAAGTTATCTGTGAGAGTCAGTGTAGCAAGTTATCTGTGAGAGTCAGTGTAGCAAGTTATCTGTGAGAGTCAGTGTAGCAAGTTATCTGTGAGAGTCAGTGTAGCAAGTTATCTGTGAGAGTCAGTGTAGCAAGTTATCTGTGAGAGTCAGTGTAGCAAGTTATCTGTGAGAGTCAGTGTAGCAAGTTATCTGAGAGTCAGTGTAGCAAGTTATCTGAGAGTCAGTGTAGCAAGTTATCTGTGAGAGTCAGTGTAGCAAGTTATCTGTGAGAGTCAGTGTAGCAAGTTATCTGTGAGAGTCAGTGTAGCAAGTTATCTGAGAGTCAGTGTAGCAAGTTATCTGTGAGAGTCAGTGTAGCAAGTTATCTGAGAGTCAGTGTAGCAAAGAAATTTAGTTTTTTATGTTGTGTTTTGTAGACTATTGTTTGTCTTTTCCTCCCTTTTTTTTTGCCATGGCGTTGTCAGTTTGTCCTTCACTTATGAGTTTGAATATCTCTCTGGTATCTTTTGCCTCTCTTTTAGATGTTCACATCCTGTTCTGGTGATAGCTGTCTCATTTGCAACCATACCACACCTCTTTGATTTTATATTAATCGATTTCATAGTTTTCACCCCATGTAAAAAACAATGTGTGTGTATGCCTGTAATACCAGTGAAAGAGTAAATAAAAGTCAATTGCACATTCACTGCTGTACGAAACCAAAGAAATTCAGTCAGAAGTTGCACTCATTTTATAATGCTCTGTATTCCAACCAGTAATAGTGTGAAGTCTCCCATAGCTCTTTAATATTAAGTCAATATCACCTGAGAGACTAATGAATGGATTTCAGATTAACTTACAAATTATTAATATAAAGTAGAATTATGCATTTTATACTGAGTAATTGTCTTCTACTTTTGTTTTTCTTTATTTGTATTCTACATTTGAATGTTTCCTAAGATGACATTATTAAAGTGTCAAAATTTGGAGATTTGTCTGTATTGTAAAACAATATGACAGCCATAGTTATTGAATTCTATAGGTATCAATAAATTTTCTTGTTTTGTTGTGTTGTCTGAATGCTGTCTCCAGGATGTTAAATAAATTTTCTTGTTTTGTTGTGTTGTCTGAATTCTGTCTCCAGGATGTTTAATAAATTTTCTTGTTTTGTTGTGTTGTCTGAATACTGTCTCCAGGATGTTTAATAAATTTTCTTGTTTTGTTGTGTTGTCTGAATGCTGTCTCGAGGATGTTTACCTTCCCAGTTGGCTTTTCTGCATGGTATGCATCCTTTATTTGGTTTCTACAGTTAAAGTTCTTAAGTTACGGTTTTCAATTGGAATTCCACTGTGTGTAAGTTTGCATCCTTATATAATTTTAACAATTAGAATCCATTAGATGAGATATATATCTGATGTCATTTTAAAATTAAAGTAGACTGTTGTAACAGCTGGGAGAAAGTGAATGTGGTTAAGATCACCCCAGTCTAGCCTTAATCTATAATTGTATGTTTGGCTTGTAACATTTTTTGGGAAAAATCACTGTAATGAATATAGGATATTAATACAAAGGTATATGTATGCACTAGTTTATGGGTGTTTTAAATTCAGTAAAGATAATTTATTTCTAGTGAGCAGATCATGTAATGATGTACACACATAAAAAGTAGTATTGATGCAGTTTTTACCTTACTTGTACATGTGGTTGAAAGGGGATTGTTAAAAGAATGGAAAAACTCCTAGTCATCTTATTCACTTGACACAGTCTTTTACCACACCAGTTATATACATTGTGTATATTCAGATTTATTAATAGACTATCTATTCTTTCTTATCACATGAAACCAGGAATTATGATTAAAAGTTCTCTTAGTAATTGTCTGTAATTCTAATATTACAATTTATCTTTTCACAAAGTCTTAACCAACAAAATCTTAAAGGATTTAATAATTATTTGAAAAGTGCAAACTTTATAAAATCAATGAGGTACATGTAAGTAAAGATCTGATTAGAATGTCCGATTATTCAGAATTAATAATCTTGATCAAGAAAAGTGATGAGTAATTTGTGTCATCTGAATATGTCACATGAATAAAGGACAGCCACTTTCAATCAAGACTAACTTATTTATACAGATTTAATATACATCTACTATCTGCCGAGTGAAAGAGTTGACTTAATTTTCTGCTGATTTGGGAGACGAT